AACACACTATTCTTTGCTCCCCCCATTAACCATTTCAGCACCAACGCTACTGGATTTAGGGATTATCATTATCGGTAAGACCTGGATATTGTATGATCCTCCACCACTGAATGGCAGACCTCTCCAGCAGTAAAGGGGTTAATGTTATCCTCGGTAACATGTGGGTTAATCCCACGTCAGAGTCTCAGGTCTTAGTGGGAAAGATTGGGGAATTTGGCTGGGAGTCTGGGGTTTATTTCTTAAACGCCCAAATCAAATGAGAATGCCCTCAACTAGACCAAATCAGAAGAGAAGGATCCCCCTCCCCGTATAGTTTGGAAATCCAACTTTCAATTCACCACAATTCACAGTTTAGTGAACAAACCTCTTTGCTCGCCATTTCCACCTGAGCTAGTAAATGTATCACTGCCATATAGAGGGGAGTGGTACCAACCTACCTCTCGCTCGGTTCCGTGAGAAGCAGCCTCCCATCTCGTGTCTTTCTTATTCGGAGCAGACTTTACCCCTGATGGCCTCCTCCACTCATTCAGCAAGACAAGGGCTGAGTCACATTACTTGGCTGCTGCAGGCTCCCAGCTTGTTTGGGGAAGGATAAAGGCATGGCCTGTGGATGCTCCTCACACACTAACCCCAAGGAGGAGGGGAGCTCAGCCCTCCCTAACTAAAAACTCCCAACAGCTGCAGACACAACATCTGAATGGACTACAACTCCTGTGACTCTTTAACAGCCATGCCATGGCCTCTATTCCAGACACTGGTACAGCACGCAATGGCCTATGCCAGAGAAAATCCACTCACAGGACTAAAAGTACAATTATTTATATAGTGCCAACATATTCAGCAGCGCTGTACAATAGATAAACAAGTCAACCTAAATACAAAAGGTATGACATCCTCCCATGTTCTTCATGCCATGACCTCTATTCCAGACACTGGTACAGCACGCAATGGCCTATGCCAGAGAAAATCCACTCACAGGACTAAAAGTACAATTATTTATATAGTGCCAACATATTCAGCAGCGCTGTACAATAGATAAACAAGTCAACCTAAATACAAAAGGTATGACATCCTCCCATGTTCTTCATGCCATGACCTCTATTCCAGACACTGGTACAGCACGCAATGGCCTATGCCAGAGAAAATCCACTCACAGGACTAAAAGTACAATTATTTATATAGTGCCAACATATTCAGCAGCGCTGTACAATAGGTAAACAAGTCAACCGAAATATAAAAGGTATCACATCCTCCCATGTTCATGACAGGAAAAGTGCTACCCAGCAAATGAAAAGGGATAGCTGTCCGTGGAGTGCTATAATCACCCCCAATGCCTGTGCTCAGTATTAGTGTTTAATTAACCCTGGGCTCTGGCTACTGAAATGACTTTATTGGTAATTAGTATTGGATTTTATTGATAATTTGTCTTTGCTTTAGACACTGATCAGATCCCACAATGCAATGTGTTACTCTGCCCTCTGGCTCGTAAAGGGGTACAGAATGCAGACGCAGAGCTAGCTGAAATGAAAGCCTTATATGTAGAATGTGAGACATGACAAGCTGGGGAATGGATTTCTCTAGGACCCTGGGGAGGACGGTTCCATAGGGCGTCCAGAGAAAGTGAAAGTACAGGAAGGCGTAGCAGATGGGACAGCTCACTATTAACCCTGAGCTGTCACTCAGCTCACTATTAACCCCTGATCTGTCGCTCAGCTTAGTATTAACCCCTGATCTGTCGCTCAGCTCACTATTAACCCTGATCTGTCACTCAGCTCACTATTAACCCCTGATCTGTCAGTCAGCTCAGTATTAACCCCTGATCTGTCACTCAGCTTAGTATTAACCCCTGATCTGTTGCTCAGCTCACTATTAACCCTGAGCTGTCACTCAGCTCACTATTAACCCCTGATCTGTCGCTCAGCTTAGTATTAACCCCTGATCTGTCGCTCAGCTCACTATTAACCCTGATCTGTCACTCAGCTCACTATTAACCCCTGAGCTGTCAGTCAGCTCACTATTAACCCCTGATCTGTCGCTCAGCTCACTATTAACCCTGATCTGTCACTCAGCTCACTATTAACCCCTGAGCTGTCAGTCAGCTCACTATTAACCCCTGATCTGTCGCTCAGCTTAGTATTAACCCCTGATCTGTCAGTCAGCTCAGTATTAACCCCTGATCGGTCAATCAGTATTAACCCCTAATATGTCAAACAGCTCAGTATTAACCCCTGATCTGTCACTCAGCTCACTATTAACCCCTGATCTGTCACTCAGCTCACTATTAACCCCTGATCTGTCGCTCAGTTCAATATTAACCCCTGATCTGTCACACAGCTCACTATTAACCCCTGATCTGTCACTCAGCTCAGTATTAACCCGTGAACTGTCACTCAGCTCAGTATTAACCCCTGATCTGTCACTCAGCTCAGTATTAACCCCTGATCTGTCACTCAGCTCAGTATTAACCCGTGAACTGTCACTCAGCTTAGTATTAACCCCTGATATGTCAGTCAGCTCAGTATTAACCCCTGATCTGTCCGTCAGCTCAGTATTAACCCCTGATCTGTCACTCAGCTCAGCATTAACCCCTGATCTGTCACTCAGCTCGGTATTAACCCCTGATCTGTCACTCAGCTTGGTATTAACCCCTGATCTGTCAATCAGCTCGGTATTAACCCCTGATCTTTCACTCAGCTCAGTATTAACCCCTGATCTTTCACTCAGCTCAGTATTAACCCCTGATCTGTCACTCAGCTCACTATTAACCCCTGATATGTAATCTAACTGCAGCAATTATAATCCAGCTGTTTTCTAGCCAATAAAATATACCCATTTTACTTCCAGTTGAAGCCGTAATGGTTACAGAGAATCTGTCACTTCCACCCCAGTAAAACCGACTTCTGCGACACGTCCACGTTTATGTATTCATTATTGGCATTTATAAGGCGCCAACATATTCCGCAGTGCTGTACAAACTTGCCCTTTACTCATGCCTTTCCTGCTCAAATATAGTTTCTTAATGAAAGGTATGTAGAAATCATATGCTACAGGAAGGGTGTCAATTAATCATCGAGACATAGAATGTGATGGCAGATAAGAACCATTCGGCCCATCTAGTCTGCCCAATTTTCTAAATACTTTCATTAGTCCTTGGCCTTATCTTATAGTTAGGATAGCCTTATGCCTATCCCACGCATGCTTAAACTCCTTTACTGTGTTAACCTCTACCACTTCAGCTGGAAGGCTATTCCATGCATCCACTACCCTCTCAGTAAAGTAATACTTCCTGATATTATTTTTAAACTTTTGCCCCTCTAATTTAAGACTATGTCCTCTTGTTGTGGTAGTTTTTATCCTCCATTACTGTGTTGATTCCCATTATGTATTTAAATGTTTTTAAGTCAGCTGATTTAATTATGAATGCAGCATGTGGAACTCAAGGGATTCCATGTGAAAGGAATTATCTCAACTTGCTGCATCCTTGTGATACATTAATTCTCTCAGGCAGTATGTGAATCCCACATACAGCAGGGCAGCAATTCCAAGCATTGCATTGATACTTGGGCCTTAAATTTGGAATTCATTTTGAATTCACAACAAATCTCACTTTAGTAAATAAGTCTGTAGGTGATCTGGCAACCTGCTCACAGGGCAGTGCTCTCCATGTCCTGTCCCTCCGCATGTTGTCTTGGTATGTTATTTAGGAGGTGTGATCGCTGTGTGTTCGTGAATGGCTGCGCATGTTTATGGGTTGCCCATTCTTAACTCAGTGTTGGTTTGGGAAGCAGAGCCCCTGCTCTGGGATTGTTGTAGTTTAACATTGTTTGTGCTGCCAAGTGTAAGAATTCCCAGACAGACTCTGCATTTTAATTCAGTCTGAATATTCACACTCCCCCTCGCTGTCCCCGAAAACAAGAAGCGGTCTGTAACGTCTTCCCCTAAAATCTCTCATCCCAACAGGGGCATTCCCCCACTATGCGAGTAGGACACGGATACAGAGCTGCTACATGGTGTTTGTATTCAGGAATGTGTCTATAAAACGCAGACATCGGGGCTGCGATCAGTAACATGCAAACAATGCTATTCAATATATCCAGTGCGGCCCTGGAAAGAGCATTTCATAAAGCATCTCTAATCAAGCAGTCATGTGCTCAACACAGTCACATAGCACTGAGTGGATGGGACAAATCACATTCCCCGCTGTGTTTCTTGGGGTCGGACACTGGTTGGTGAACTAACCGCATGTTTTTGTTCCGGTTAACGTCTAGTGTCTGCAGTGCGATGTCCCCTGGGCTTAGTCTCAGACAACACAAACATATTTCCAGTGCGGCTTGCATACCGTACTATTTTCAGATGTTGCGCTGTATTTATTACAAGGTCAGATAGGTTTAGACACAAATCTAGTCTGAGATTGTTTTGTGAAGGAAATGCTGATTTTGCTGAAATGGGAGAAGTTACATTGTGGGTAACAGACGATTAGAAATAGTTACTGTAGCCGTACTGCCCTCCCCAGTGCAATGGAGACCCCTACGTCTCAATGACGCAGTATTACTGAATTTAATTTTAATGTATATTTTAAAGCTAAAACTACATTTTGGGCCCCTGTCAAAAGACCAGCAGAATTATTGACTTGATCTTGTGAGAATTGCCAGACGTTCAAACTGAATTACAAATTGACTGATTTGTTCAAATTCTGCTATTTTGACCTAAATTTAGAAATTCTCTTTGCGTTCCTGGCAGGTCGCACTTTAATGACTAATCTGCTTATCATGATGTCTGGATGACTAGCGTCACAGACAGACCGGGCTAATCACTAAAGTGGGAATTCGAAGTGAAATGTTAAATTTTAGATGAAATGACTGGACAGTGTTTCCAGTTCAAAGTGAATTTCAAACCTTAGGCTGAATTTCCGACAACGGACAGCTTAGTAAATAACACTAACGGCTGGTTGTTACCCGCACTGGGGAGAGCAGGTAGAGCATTTGAGACATCCTGCTGTTACCATCGTCCTCCCAGATTTATCCGCACACCAGAGGGGTTGCTGCATGTGGCTCTGGCATGCGGGAGTTGGACGTCCCCTTACAACCAGCCTCTATAAATATTTTAATATGAAAATGACAGTTTATTGATATCTAACCATGCTTGGTGTCACACAGTTGCAGCATTATTCTGATATTGGGAGGGGAGAAACAAAATCTGACCACTGGCTACAACTAAATGTCCCTGGATAACTGTCCGTGGATACTGCTTTAACATGATTAACTCCTGATTGACCAGAGGTTTCTGCTGATCACTGAAGCTCTGTATTTATAGCTCTGAGAATATATTGAAATCTAGAATATTCCCCCATATATTCCCTCCAGTCTGGCTTAATTCCTCAAATAACCAGCATTTCACACAGGCTCATGGAATATGATTTCACTAAACCTGGGAAAATGTTCCGTTCCTGCTAAACATGAGGCGTCAAGAACTGTATATAATTATCGCTGGTAAAGTGACGGAACTGCTAAATTCAAACTGTAACGTCACCCTCAGCATAAAAAGGGGTTAACTGCCGTTTAGTAGATCTTCCCCTTCCAGAGACACAGGCACAGCTACTGCAGAACCCCAAACAGGATACCAAGTAGTACTCCAAACTCCCGAACTGGAACCTCACGAATAGCTGCTAGCAGCTGAACAGGAAAAGCACCCAAGCGGCTTACACTCCTGGCAATCAGTCTCTAACAGCATACAGTAAATCCCCCCAAGAACGAGACAAAGCTCAGTGTTGAGGGTCAAGCAGTGAACAGACAGAGCTGTGGGTTTATTGTTCTTATGTACACATTCTTACACATTAGTACCACCCACAGGGTTTTGGAACACAACCAATAAACACATACAATACACTCAGACACTCCCACACAAAATCCTCCCCTCTGCCTGTGATACAATTACCTTACACAATGGGTAATGTAATTATAACAAGCAGAGAAATACAATTTTTCCACATTATTCATAACTTGAAAAGTATGCATCACATTCACATAACATTTTCAGAATCAGCATACTCCAAATACAAACATATGTCAAATTCATACAAATTGGTCCAATGGTTCAAAAGATAGATCGTAGTCCTTTGTGACCAAAGGAAGCATGGCTTTTCTGCCCAAAACCAGTTCCACAGAGTCTTCTATCCTGGAGATAATTGGGAAGTAATCCAATTATCTCCAAAGACAGAAGCAAAACTCCATTGAACACATGGCAGCAAAAGACAATAAAACACATAAAAACATATAACTGTGCAGCCATTGCACAAAACAGGTACATTCAACATATCCCCAGATAGCTCAGATCTGAGCGCACATTATTACTGAATGGCGCTCAGAGCACACACATACAGTTCAATTGCCATGGAGCCAAAGTCTTTCCCATAGTCTTTCATTATACGAATGGGCTCCATGGCATAGCTATCTGGGGTATCACCGCTCAAACAGGGCAAGCACCAAATGACCCGGCTTTCTTGTCTTTGCAGGGGAAAATCCAGCGTTTCAACATGGGGCCATAGTCTAAAGGCAGCAGGTGGGCAACCAGGCTTCTCCAATGCATAGTGGCGAGATTGCTCTTGTCACACAAACTGAAATGCAGAAAAGGCCTGGCGCAGCCATCTTTGTCACCAGAAATAGTCACAAAAACAACTTTAGCTTAATGTAGTGCAGTCTTGCTGCTAAATTCTCTGCCATCTAGCAGTTAAATCACTTTGTTTATACAGCCCTAGGCACACCTCCCTGCATGTGACTTACACAGCCTTCCTAAACACTTCTTGTAAAGTCATCTGATGTTTACACTTCCTTTATTGCAAATTTTGTTTAATGTAGAATTTCTTATCCCCTGCTATGTTAATAACTTTCTAGACCCTACAGGAGCCTCTTGTGTGTGTGTGATTAAAGTTCAACTTACAGAGCAGGAGACAAACTTCTAAGGTAAGTTACATCTGATTGAAAGTGAAACTAATTTTGTACAAAAATGTATTCCTGACCCTCTAGTGCTAAACCCACTATTTAGGTGGCTTGCCCCCCCTCGGCCCACTCAAAAAGTAACAAAAATCACCTTATTTTCAGCGCTGAGCAGGTCTGCGGGTGCTGGCCCCACCCCAGGTCCGCCTCCTTGATGACATCATCAGAATTGCCGACTTTTTGCCAATCCAATGCTTTCCCATAGGGAAAGTATTGGATTGGCCAAAATCGGCAAGGAGGCGGTATGGGGGCAAGGCCAAACACTGTTTTGGCCAATCAGCACTTCAGTAAATCAGTAAAAGTCAGCATGTAGACGCTGAACGGCAGTGCTGCCTACTGTGCAGCCCTGAGCCAGGAAGCACCTCTAGCAGCCCTCTGAGGAGTGGCCACTTGGAGGTGTCCCTAGGGACAATGTAAACATGGCCTTTTCTCTGAAAAGACAATGTTTGCATGAAAATGCCTGAAGGCAATGAT